GCCAATGCTTAAGCAATACAACACCGAGCTAGGAAAGTCATCGTATGGTTGTTCTGCTTAGGGAGTAGCTCTTACTAGTTTACAAAGCGTTGGGCAATCTATTTCTCTTTTACTCTAACTAATTTTTAGAAGCTGCAATATAGAACTGCAGTATTAGTGCAGGAGTATGCTCGTCTTCACCAAGGCCTGGGATTTATATTGCAGAAATTCATCAAATTTACATCACTCCAAGTGTACCATGTCCAAATCACCTAGAGTCATTATTATGGACTTTTACATTTCTACCCAAGGAATGGCTGGGTTTCGAAGCTTGATCAACCAGAGTCTTTTACATTGAACTGCAATTAAACAAAGCAGAGTACCAGTTAAAGCCAAAGAACACAAGTACTCAGCACATATATGATTTGATACAGTACGGTAGGTATGTGTATATATATATGCATAAATATGTATATGTTACATTATAAGAAGAATGCCATTCAGGACTTCTCAACTGCAAGAATCCTTGTACCACCTGCAAATCTTGAAACTTCAGCCCATTAAATTTCACACCAAGACAATGAGAACTCCAATATTTTCCAGATTGAATTATTATTTCTATTTTAGCCAATTAACCAAGCAGGGCCAGCTGAAAGAACAGGAACTTTAATTTTAATAACACCAGTTCTGCCACCTCAGGCAGATGGCACAAATTTCTATCACCAGATTATTTGCCCCTTCCCTGCCCTGCAGTTGTGTATCATGGGCATTTCTGAGTTCTCAGACCATCATCAGAGTCGTACTAACTGATCTGTATCAGTTTACTCAGTTGCCAGAGAAAATGCCACAATTTATGAAATAATTTCAAACAGCCAGTATAGTCCTGACAAGAACGTAGCAGTACTGGCTGGAGACATATTGGTTTTAATCATGTAAAGGTTCTGCCTTTTCATCCCCAGCAAGCCCACTTCTACTTATAACGGCTGTCACCATACCTACAACCTAAGAGCTGGACAGTTTGGGATACCATGCTATTCATTGTAATCCTAAAAGCCAGAGCTTATAAAGGTCTGCTGTACAAGTTTCACATATAGAGCTGAAAAAAAGTCTCATTTAAATCACTTTGAGCAGGAGGTTTCGTTTGTTGCTTTTTAAAAAAGAAATAGGAGCAACAACAAGTAAAAAGGGCAAGAATAAATGTAACAGGCACTTAAGAGCGAAGTAAATTCAAAACCCTTTTGGATATTTAGATAAGGGGGAGCTACTCATCTCCCTTGCCTTTAGCCTATCTAGAATTTAGACATCTAAGCCCAGACTAATCGTTTGTGCTTCCTCCAGTCTTGAGGAGACAAAAGCTTCCTTCTGGAGGCTGTCACATCCTCAAATAGGGCAAATGAGTCTCTCCAGGGATGGCAGACCCTCTGTAACCACAGGGAGACTCTAAGCAGTTAGCTAGATTACCTGCCACTTACACAGGTGAGACAAGTCTCTCTCTCACTCTTCACATAAGCCGCTAACATAAATCCTGAAGGCTTTGCTTGGTTCCTGCATGGACAAACTCACCAACTTCAACAGGGCAAGGGTTTTCTTTTGTGTTTTTGGGGAGCAGAGGGGGAAGGTTGGTCAGCAGTCCAATCTCACACCAACGTTGCTCTGACCACTTGTACTAGCCGCTCAACCACGATGGTTCATGGCCAGTTTGCCCACACACAAGCACCCGTTGGTTACACAGCATCAGGCAATAAGGGCAAAGGATGCAACGTGTTTTCCTAACAGCCAGAAATGCACCTCAGCCTACACCTTCCTCAAGGGTGGCAGTGGAGAGGGAGGTGCTGATCTCCTCTCTGTGGTGACCAGTGAGAGGAAACAATGGAATGGAATGAAGCTGCATCAGGGCAAGTTCAGATTGGACATTAGGAAAAGGTTCTTCACAGAGTGGTTGGTCACTGGAACAGGGTCCCCAGGGAAGTGGTCACAGCACCAAGCCTGTCAGAGTTGAAGGAACGTCTGGACGACACTCTTAGTTATAAGGTTTAGTTTTAGGTAGTCCTGTAAGGAGCAGGGAGTTGGACTCAATGATCCTTATGGGTCCCTTCCAACTCAAGATATACTATGATTCTAAGTTGAAATAACTCGACATTCTCCTAGACACCAAACTATCTGTGCTGTGTGTCTTCACGGGCACATATGTTACTGAGCACAATCCTCCAAATTTCTGCTGGGACTAGAGAGGTTCAACAAGGACTAGAACTACTCTGACAGGTAAGCATAGGGCCTTACACACACATTAAAGTTATACAGCTTTACAAACAGGCTAATATAGATACAACAGTAGACCCCACCTAGTAGGACAGTATTTATAATCTATGTGATTGTTTACTCTGGTATACCTTCTTATAGCATGGAAAGGAGAACAAGATATATTGTCAAATTCACCCTCATATCAGTATAAAATTATTTTATTTTTAAAAAATGTAAATACAACAAGGCCCCAACAGAAAGTTACTTTTGTTCAAAATTAATCGAGCAAGTGCTACTGAAACACTATGAGGAGTTTTGCATATAATTCCTTATGGGCAAGATTTGTTTTTTAAATAATCAAGGACAAGTTGTTTTTGGGTTTTTTTTTTTTTTAAATAAGCAAACAGTTCTCAGTCCCTAACTCTGGGAGCAAAGCTACCTCTATCCTTTCTTCATACTGTTGTGTTTCAGTATTGCTGTGTCCCCTGAATTACAGGGCTATCACATGTAAGTGGATACGGTACAGGCTATACTCCTGGCAACTCCAAGATCTTTTTTAAACCCTTCTCATCAGGTCAGATTCACCTGAGTTGCATGCCAACAACAGCCACAGCAGATGTTAGGCTAGCATTACAAAACAGGATGAAAAAGCACAGCTAACGTACATCTTCTAAAGTACTTTCTACAAAATAAACCAAACAGCTCCTGATTGCTGGGGCATGTTGGTCCCACCTACTCACAAACACCACTGGAATTTATTCTCTGTTTTGTAGGACAGCTGTAACTGTGTGGCCACAACCTGGATGCCTCAGTGCCCAGGGCTGGGGCATCCCCAGCTGTCCCCCTCCATGTGCACAGCAGTGCAGAGCCGGCTGCAGAGCCAGTGAGGCAACACAGGCACCAAGGCAGGTTCGAGCTTGAAATAGCCTCACCTTCCTCTCAAAAAGATGGCATTTCCCATCCTCCACAAAGGCATATCTTCCCTGAAAGCTCCCCCCAGCTTCTCTGTCTGACCTCCCTCACTCCAGGAGACCATATACAACTTCCTCACCTACACAAGCTGGTCCTCAACAAAGAAGCCTCAAGTTCCTTCAGTTCAGGGGGAGGAATCTCCATGTCCCAAAGCCTGGGCATCCTTTTTGGAGGAAGCACTACAATTCATGGAGCATCTAGGACAGCCACTTGAGCAAGATCGTGCCTAAGTAGGCAATGTTACTCAATTAGCTGAGCTGGCTGAAGGTTTTCCCATTGTAACATGATTTTTCTATTCTAGTATTATTTTTGGGGTAAAAAAAAAATCATTGGGGATGGGTGGGGGTTTTTTTGCGCAAAACTCGATGCTTTTAATGAAAAAAAGGTTGCCTTTCTCAATATTTTGCTGTTTATTTCTGTTGGGAAAACTTGAAACACATCGTTTTTGTCAGAAAAGTATCAGTCCATGTCTGTCCGAATTCCTCCAGTGTCAGTTGGGAGCTGTAATTCACAGGCTCCATGTCCCCCTCTTTCCCAAAAGGCTGGGCTCCTGGGCAGCCCTCCAGCCTTCATGACGCATTCCCCCTTTGACTAACCCATGGTAAAAGCATCATGGGATCTGTAACCCAGCCAAAGAGCTGGGCCCCAAGGGAGACACGGCGCACAAGGCACTTGAATGGTAATTTCTGAGGTTTGCAACAGTAGCTCAAACTGATGTTGCTTTAAGGGCCAAATGGATTTAATTAAATGTTTCCATTTCAAAAGGCTAGAACATTTTATTCAGCGTTTTCCAGCTGACAGTTTCTCATTTTTTGAAAAATTTCCATTCCAGGAAAAATTTTGGTATTTCAGCTTTCCATCTCAATTCAGGATGAAATTAAATGTTCAAGTATCAGAATTTGATGCTACATGGACATTCTGTTTGGGAAACAGCCTTATTAATTAGCTGCCAAAAGTAAAATGACTCCATCCATGCAAGAAGGGTGTGATCCAGTTTGCCTTTGACATCAGTGGAAGCCACTTTTTCAGCTTAGTGGAGTCTGGATGGCATCCCAAAAGACCAAGGGAGGGTGGAGTTGACCACAGTTGCAGATATTGGAAACAGGAGTCAAGAGTGAAACAGCAAGAATATAAGAAGCAGCAACTAAGATGACCCGTTACCTGGACTCAATTAAAACTCAGTTTTACTTACTTTAGTGAGTAACAGGAAGAAAAATCATTAAGATTATAAAACCTAATTCCCAGTTACAGTAAAGATAGCAGTTAATCAACGCTTTGTAGAGTAGAATAAATCCATAGTATGAATTTGTCATGAGCTCTATAACTTTCAATGTTCAAAACATTTCCTCAGAAACTTTCATATACTCCATTCAAGGAGACTACTCTAAAGCTAACGATATAATATGGTACTGAACTGCTTGCCTCAGGTTGTCCTCCCTCAAAACCCGCAAAATTGTTCTGTGGGATTGGTATTACAGAAGCTTTGTCAGGATGGACCAAGGTCTCTGTACTTTGAGCACATCTACAGGTGGAAAGCAGCTAAGTGCAGGCTTCCAGAGTTGGCACTCGGGATGAGGACTGGGCACCAAATCCATCCTCTGCATTGCCCAATCTGTTTCTAGATTTAGCCCCAAGCCTTCCACCTCAAAGCATAAAAGAAGAGCCCCAGGGAGACTATGTCCATCAGCAACAGGGTGTGGGTTGAAAGCAAGAGAGCACTCGGAACAGTAAATTAATTCACCCAGCCATGAGGGGTCTAGAGAAGTGGGTTTTGTTTATCTTTCATTTCCCTTTGGTACAAGGCAGATGTTTCTAAGTAATAAGCAGAAACCTCGACATTTTTAAGACTGAAGAGGAAGGGAGGGAGGAAGAAACATGTACAAGCTTTGAGGATGTTCTCAGCTCCAGCTTCAAAAAAACCCAAAACCACACACCACCAAAAATGTATATCTGTAAAAGCAAGTTTTTCCTTAAACTGTTTGGTAATTCTTAGTTCATAGGAGCATTTTATCCAGAAGGTTCTTCATGTTTCCAGTCTAGGTTGTAGCAATCTCAGTGAGGCACTAAATTTTAGGCTGTTAAAGTCTTTCTGTGCAGCACGGTCATTTTAAAATGATGTGGTAGCCATCATTGCTTTCAGCTGTAACAAAGAAGTGCAAAGCATTTTTTCATTGCTTTCAGAAAACAGCAGAGACACAGAACTCCAGATTTTCTTCTTAGGCAGTTTGCAATAGTTTGTACTCTTGTTCCACAACCCATTCATAAAAATCGATGTTGAACATCTAGGTCAAAGCATTTACATAAAAAATACAACATACTAACTGTCACCTTTTATCATTTTACTAGAAGGTTTTCTGCTCATTTATGTTAGTGTTATCAATGGATTTATGAAAGTTTTATGACTAACTGAGAGGAAAGCATAGATCAATCAGTCTATCATAGTGTAAGTTGATGCAACACCTTGACTTACAGTAAATTAGATTACTTATCTTCTCAGGATAACAGCACTGAGTTTGCGATAACGTTTAGTGCAACTGAAGGGAGAAATTATCTTTAGAGCTACATGTAATAGCAGCAGCAATACGTACCTTTTAATGTGCTGATAACAAAACAAGATTCATCTTGGAAGTTTTGCACCATCTGAAGGGCAGAAGGAAAAAAGACAACACAAAATATTTTTAGCAATTTAATTCAGGTTTCCTTCAGTGCCAGTACAGAATTTAGAGGAGAGTTATCAAACAACATTTGGTGTCTAGTCCTATGCAGTCCTGAGTAACCCTGCCCATAAGACTATTAAAGTACATGACTGATTAATTAAGGTCCTTGCAGCTGCTAATGTGCTTAAGAGAAGCTTATACTAAAGTGCTTGCCTGGAACTGATCTGGCTTGTTCCGCATTTTACCATCCCCTTTGCAGTTCTTGATCCTGCAAGTTCTTATACTGCTCCAGTTAGTCTATTAAAGACCGAGCTCTTAATTGCCCTCACTGAAGCTATACTAGTTTAGACTGGATGAAGACAGTCCCTCTCCTAAAATCTAGCAATGGTAATATACACACACATTCAGCTGAACCATGAAGCTTCACTGAGCTTACATGAGCATCTGGGATAATATCTAGAGGTGGTCAGCCCTGAGAAATGGAATGCTTGCTGAATAAAGGAATATTGTTACTATAAAGCCAATTCAGCAGCCTTCACCTGGTTATTTTGACCAGACATTAGTATAGATGCTGTGCTTGCAGGAATCATTTACCTGTTTGTATTTTGTCAAGGCACAGGAATCTTAATGAAACTGCTACAAGAGAGGTAAGGCAGATCATGGGAAGCAAGATCAGTATCTAAAGCTATTTGAGTCATTCATGAGAAACAACTAGATTTTCAGAAGATGTGCAGGTTCTAGTGAGGCCCCTAACTAAAGAGGTGAGTTAAGAGATTCAGCTGACTTCAGATCCAACCTGAAATTCTTAAATGTAAGCTTCATCCTTAGTCAATGCTTCCTCCCATCTTAGAGTAGCTGTGTGGGACAGAGGAGGTGAATTACCTTCAAGAGATGTCTCATACTGTTGCAGCAGATGCTGGACACCTAACCTCAGAGGGGAGGTGAACCTCTCCAATCAGCTCAGAAAAATCCAGCTTTAAGCAAAAGCCTTCTCCTAGCTATTGAATATCATTCAAGGAGAGCACTTTCCAGCTGTAAGTTTTCACACCAAATACCCTTTTCATCTTAGGCTAATCTCCCTATTCTCTTCTGGGTTTAACATCCCTGCTCCCACAAATCAAACTTCACTGGTCAGTCTGTGTGTCTGTGCCTAATCATGCATGCAGTACATTCACAGAGTGCCTCACTCTTGCCACTATAGTACTAGAACAAGAAAAAAAAATATAAAAAAAGTAATAGACATTGTTAATAATTGACTTAAATACTTAAAGCCTTATACACAAGCTGGTTCAGGCAATTCCCCTACCAAGAGTTGCCTCCAAGCACTTTACATCCATAAAGCATCAAGGTTTCAGATTTAATCAGGCTGAAATAGCAAGGAGACTTTAGGAATAAGCATTACAGCCTTCAATTTAGGCTCCAGTCAAGACCTATGCTCTGCTTCATTTGTTTTAACAATGTTTCTTATAAATGAAGCTCCTTAAGTGATTCTGGTGCATGAATGAGTAAGTAATTTAGCGGGGGGAAAAGAGGAAGAAGGGCAACTCACTATTAACCTGCAAGTTAATGGAATTGACTAAATTCAGCCACCATATAATGGGACACAAAACAGCTAGCAGAGGTCCACGAAATTATAGTGTGCACTTACACAGCACTGACTCAGACCCAGTGGCTGTAATCATTGGCCAAGACGTAAGACTAATTGCCCTAAAGATTTTCAAACTTGCCTTCCTTAGGAAACTTTTCTATTCAATTTTAAAGGTTCTCACTTTAGATCCTTACTACAGAATTTGTGTAAGTAGCCAACATGAAAAGAAAATGACCAATTTTGTTATGTTTTGTTTTCAAAAAAAACCCCTCTGTTACAAAGCAAAGATCTTAAAACCACACCAAAATCAATGCTATGCATGAATGATTTGCTTTAAGTATTTGCTTTAACTTGTTGGGATTAGTAACCTTGCAAAGATTCCTTGAAGATTCATTCCATAATTTAAAAGGTCATTCTAGCTTCAAGAAGTCAGACAACTGTTACAGCTCTGACAGAGTTTGCATTAACCCCTTACCTCATTGCTCACTAATACATGGATCCCTGTGGGTCCCTGCCGATAGATTCGATTTATCTGCTGTGGAGAAATGCTGTACAAGTTTGCAATCTTCTCGATTAATTCCAGCGTGGTCAATTCTTCCAAGAAGATTGCATGATATACTGCAACAAGTTGAAAGGAATTACAGAATTACAGCGTAATTCTAGAATAGCAACTACAGATAAGACCAAGACGTTCAATATCAACAACTAAATGGATTTAAGATCAAGGTTCAAATCTTGGCAGTAGATAAACCTTAGTACCTTTAAAGCAGCCCCCAAATATCCATCTTGATGATTTGCAGAAAAATACCCAGTATTAGGATGCAGTGGGCAAATAAAGAACACGTCACTTTTGGCCAGAGGAAAACACAGCAACTAATCACAACATTTATCAAGGGGCACTGGAAAAACCCTCTCACAACGGTGTTAGTATTTTTGGATAATCTACTTCCACTGATTTTGACATTTTAAAGTAGATCCAATTAAATAGTAAAATACATGACATGATGTTACACAAAAGCAGTATTTTGTTAGATGTTATCCCACTGACCCCATAGGCACAAATCAAAGACTACAATGTATCAAAGAACTGTAGGTGACAGTATTTTTTAAATCCAATCCAAATGGTAGAAACAGCCAGGTAGAAAAGCTGTGCCTGGTTAATGCTATGCACAAGAACTGAGGACAATCTCTGTTCTCATTTGATTGTACATCATGTCATGAGGGATAGTTAAGAGCCATGAGTCCCCAAAAGCTTCGAACTTCCAAGAATTAGAACCTCACTTTAAGACATACCAATCTTCCATTTCCCAGAATATTTTCAAACAAGCCACAGTCTAAAGCAAACTGTGGATTTGGGAAGGTAGTTTTTAATGCTATGGTCCCTATTAAGAACTGAATAGAGACTTTGCTGTGGCATTCTGCAGATAGCTGTAAGTTGGGGCTGTTTCCCAGACAGACAGTACCAGTTGGAATCTGTAGCCCTGAAACTAACCAAAGTGTCAGAACTGGGATAAACATGCAGGACACCAAGCTGTCCCACGCAGGAACTCAGGCAGAAAGCAACATTCTCACCAGGTAAGTGTTTAACAAAATCCATACATAAAAACTTACCACAAAGACTGCCATCTCCGTTTTCTCGTTTTTGGTGGAGATGGGACCTGTTTTGCTCTGGTTCTTGACAGACATAAATTGTCATCTTGGGCCTTACATTTCTATGGATTATTAAAAAACAGTACCGAGTTATTTAGTAGATCTAAAATTGTTCCAGTTAGCTAGCAAACACTGAGAGATAGATCATTCAGGGTATGCATAAATAACCAACTAAGGGATAGTCTTGATGCTGGTGACTAGTTGTCTTAGGAGGTCTAGTAAGAGCTCCCTGGGAGATGGTGGTACAGTGCAGAGCACCTTAATCTCTTCAGGATCAGATAAGAATAAACAGTTTTCAGCACTTGCCAAGCTGCCTTTACTGATTTGAATCCTGCCCAGCTGGAGAATTTATGTTATTGCCATATAAGTAAGTTTAAGAGTCATTTGAGGCTCCAGGGATTGGTTGGTTGGTTTGTTACCTGTGATGGAGATGCAACACAGGGTACTGTAGGCTGTGTCTCATACAAAGTGGATGGAAGCTATCAGCTAGTAGCAAATAAACCACTGGAGATCCACTTTATGATGCTTCATTTCAGCAACATCTGAGCTGTGCTGGGATTTGAATACCATTGTGATCTCCAGCCTCTGAGATGGCCTCTCTGAAGTGTTAAAAGGAGGTCTAAATGCTACAGCTCTAGGATTAACTTCTAGTGAGCACTGAAATTATCAAGGGATGCTGCCATAACAAAAAAATAGGAAGGAAGACGTACAAACCTTCCTTTGATTGCATTAAAGAGTCGAATTCCATCAGCAGGCCCACAGATTTGAACAAAATCTTCTTTGGACATCTTCAGTAAGTCAGCACCTACATATTTCAAATTGACGTTTTTTCAGAAGTTAAGCAAATCTTAGCTTCCAAACTGTGTGTATGGGCAGCAGGAAAGGGCAGGGGGAGAGAATCCACAAAGCTAAATCAGACAGATTTGCCTAGAGAAGTTGCAAATTCAGAGAGGTGTACACTGTAAATCAATCATTGTGAAACAGAGAGCTAGAAGCTGCCAAAAGAGCAGTGCTGCACTGGAAGATATTCTAGCCAACTCAGAGACAAGTGAGATATTTAACATTGGCCATTAAATGGCCCAGTTTTCTCCAACTGCCATGTTCACCAGGCTGTTTAATCATGTTGCAAGTCAGAGAGAGGCTCCTCAAGGTTTCAACATCTTTAACAATACCCACTTCCACCGTCTTACTACTGTGTACAGCTACCTAATGGGAGGGTACAGTGAAGATGGAGCTGCAAATGGAGCCAGACTCTTCTCAAAGGTGCACAGGGACAGGATGAGAGGCAGCAGACAGAAGATGGAAGATGAGAAACACTGATTAGGTGTAAGGAAAAACTTTTTCACTGTGAGAGTAGTCAAGTATTTGAAGAAGTTGCTTAGAGAGATTGTGGCATTTCCAACCTTGGAGATACTCAAACGCAACTGCACAAGGCCCTGGACTTGCTTCAAGCATGGGGCTTGCACCTAATGAACTCAAGAAGTCCCTTCCATCTTAAATTATTCTCTTCCATCTTAAATTATTCTATATTTCTACAAACTGTTTTGGCAAATGCTAACTAATCTAGAACAAAAGAACCACCACAGTGGATCAGACCAGTGATCCCATCAACAGTGGCCAGCAGCAGATGCTACTGATATGAAGCATGAGCTGCACTTAAAAAAGAGAATAAAGACAAAATAATTGGACTGTTTAAACTCACCCGAAAAACTTGAGAAGAGTCTACAGAATGGAGAGAACCTATTACGATGAAGCCACTGCTGGGCATCTTGAATAGAAGCAGAAGGAAGGAGATGCTACATTGCAAAAAGAATAAGAAGGTCTTGAAATGAACTGTTCACCAGTGTCCTAAAAAAGAAAAGCACCACATTAACATGATCTCAAGTACTTACATCATTGCTGGGAGGCAGGAGCTCCACTTGGTGGGTTGGAGAACTGTTGCTAAAAAGAATTATATAAAGTTGGAAGAGAAAAAAAAAACATTATTTTAAATTTTACATTGCATTGTCCATCCTTTTCCCCCTCCTCCATTTGACTCAACTGTCACAAGTTACATACCAACTTGGCTTTTTTCGCTATCAGATTTAAAAAAGGTGTCCAAAAACTGGACCAAAAAAAGAAAAAAAAACTAAAAAAAACCCAGAACACCAAACCACTCTACTTGAGCCTGTTGTTGGTCAGTTGAGGTCCTACTCAACACTGAGAGAAAAACTCAGTTCTGACCTGATTCAAGCTTTTCCATACAGGTGACTCACTTATGTGACACCATCTAAGCAAGGAAGTTGTGACCTACTATTGTGGCCAAACAGAAACATTCTATGAGCCAGAGATACCCTAACTAAATCCACTCTCTGATAATGATTCTTTGCAAAAATTTAATAGAGAACCTTGTAATTCAAACCTGGTGTTATTTTAAACATAGTAAATCACAATTTAACCATATTAGACAAAACTACATCTGTACTAAACCCTCCCAAAACATAGACAGGACTTTAACACACGAAGGGTTTTCCCAAAGAGTTAATAATCTACCACTGGAAGAAAATGCTCAACAGATCTCTCTACTGACACCAATTTTTGTCATTTCAGTGTTTGTCCTTATTCATAGGTTGAGGTTGCTCACTGAAAATTTGTGATACAACATGAGCTGTGTGGGAAGGTGACAAGGCTGTAGAGTCCTAAAGGAAGAAAAGAAAGGTCTGTGCCAGATTCCTAGGGGAAGCTATGTTGCAGGGAGGACTCAGAAGTACCAAGGGACCATGCTGTGTATTTCTGTCATCGGCTATCATCTTCGGTGTTTCTTTATGAAGGCTATATTAATGAATTAAACATGCCTCCTGTTAATCTTTTGTTCTGGAACAGCTTCTCAGACCCAGGCTGTTTTGCTCCAGACAGAATTTCTTTAAATCCCATTCAACTGGGAATTCAGCACCCCAAACTGCCACAAGACAGAAAGGAAGGAAGAAATACGAACTCTGAAGAGATGCTGAAGGCTGAAAGTCTCTAACACTCTTGTCAGAAGATACTGGGAATTGCTGGTACAGGACATGGTGTGTTCTCTCCCCAACAGAAGAGTAAGAGAGGAAACTCATGGCAGAAATTGCCATGGTAGTCCTGTGATGCTCACCTCCCATAAGCAGTGAACATACAAACAGTACAGGGAATTCGTGGCTGGAAGATCTTAAAAGTCTTTATGGGAAATATTTTCCCCTTTCTAGGAAGGGTGGTCCTTGACCTCTTCTTCCAGGGCATGAAATGCATGGACACACAAAACACACATACACAAAGGCTACCATATCAACAGGAAAGATAAAGCATTTATTTGTTACATACCCATCTCCAAGGTTGAAGCTGTTGGGAGAACTGTTGTAGCTTGGGGATGGAGCATTGTTCATTTGATAAGGCACATCTGGCCAGGGAGAGCACTGTTGGAAGAAAGGCAGCGGGGATACTTTCATAAGGATAGAAATAAAGGATTCGATTCTCCTCTCATACCACATTCATGCTGTTGCCACGCCACTAACTTCAGCTCATCGCTCCTGCTGGGAGGAGGAGACGGGCCATGGATTTTCTACACCGCTCTCCAAGCGGGCTGTCAGGGGGCCAGATTGATTCCAGTTGTGCATTCCACATTTCTCCCATTTCACAAAGCCTGTCCCCAAATAACACTGGCCAAAGTGTGCACAGCTGTATGTCAGAGCAATGCCAGTGTCAACTCAGACTGAAGGCAGCAATGATACAGAAATACCCCTGGTCTCAATTATAAATCCCTAATTAAATCCAGGCAAGAGTGACAAATATGCTCCAGTGGCATTGCTTCAGGTTTATACCAGTGAAAGAGCAGAATTTGAACCAGCCTGTTAAAACCTCTGGCTATTAGTCGAAGAGCTCGAGTTATAAATGGGTATTACAGGGAGAAAATTTAAGATAGACAGACAAACACAAAGCTACTAAAAGTCTTCACAAATATAGGTCAAACTCCATATTCCATTACAGTAATGTAAAACCAGAGTAACCCAGCTAGAATTGGTGACTCTGTTCTGAATTTAAGCCACTGTAATCAGCAGGAGAAATCTAGCCCTGTGGAAGCCCCTGCCATCAAGAGCTCAAGAAAATGCTCTGTAGTATCCTTGTTTGCAATGATAAAAAGAGGACAAGCATAGCTTTGGAGTTTTATCATCTCCACAAATACTAGCAAATATTTTATCATCTCCACAAGCACTAGAAAATATTTAACTCTTCGGCAACCCACATTTCCCCCTGCAATATCTCAAAGTGCATCAGAGCTCACAGGAAGAGTCTGGGATCTGCTAACTCAGTAGAATTAGGTCTGTGTACACAAGAGCCTTGTTAACAACCACCACGTTGAATTAAAAAACATGCTGGTCGCTCCTGGCAACTTGAGGAAAATTGAGTGGGAGGGCCTGGATCTCTCAAACAGTTTATTTAAATTAAGAAAAAAACCCCTCATTTTTAGAAGTCCAGCAAACCACTTCAAAAAACCAAGAACTAAATCAAACAACAAAATATTCCCATAGGGAGATGGGACAGCGCTTTTAAACCACTGTCTTGAGTCTTTTTGCTTCATAATTCTGCAGCCTGAGGTAAGCTTATATATATGCCTTAGTAATGGCAGGGAGAGGTAGAAACACATACATCACTACACCAGATGCATCAGAATATAAGACATTCAAGATATTCCTAGAGTACAAGCCAGAGATCTAGTATGTAATAGCCTCATAGGCATGTTCACAAACAGATTAATAATTTAATTAGACAGCCTATTCATCTATTCCAGTGCCCGACTCCAACATGAGCTTTGCCAGACAGTTCTGAAGAAAATACCTCATACAAGTGGCATCTAAGTGCCACGACAAGTGCCCAGGAGCACAGCAGAAGATAGAGAAAATGCTTCTTTTAAAGCTAGGCTGTTAAGGGTTGTTTTATACCCTGAAACATAAGAAACTTTGGCATCTTTTATAAACTTCAACAGTGAGAGACATTTTATAATTTCACTCAGCTCTCAATTTCAGTCAGATCTGGGCATACGTGTCTCCACTCCAAGGCTCAATTAGACTGCATTTTCTCTGGAATATATCTCCCAACATGCTGAAGTAGCATGACACGTGTCTAAAACATTTTACCTCTGTGAGAATAGTTGTCTCATAGGAAGGCTGATACTTCTCCTTCTCTTGGGTGGTCTTCTTCTCCATTTTTTCCCTGTCAGTCTTCTGTTTTCTGTCTGCTCCTTTAGGCTATAAGCACAAGCACAAGCTTTCCCTTATGCCAAGTATTACAAGTTTGGAGACAGAGGCCAACAGATTTTTTTTTTTCTAATCTGTTCACAAAAGTCTCCTTAAGATTTATGGGGACTTGACATATGGAACAAGATCAGACCTGCATTTTCTAGACAAAAAAAAAAATCAGTCAAGCATCTCTACTGTTTCTATATCATCCCCCATTAATGCTTATTGCAATTCAAAACAGGCTGACCACAGTCCTGAGATTTGATACCAGCTATTTCAGACCATGAGTTATGCACTTCAACTGGTATTTGTAACATCTCTACAGGAATAAGAAAGACACTGCTCATGCGAGCAAGACTCAAGCAGCAGATCCTTTGAGAACACAGGCCCATGAAAAGCTTGTTGTTAAGTGACTACAGGTCTGCCGTGCCCAAATTAGGAGCTTCGGAGATGAACAGAATCATCTTTCTCTCCTCCAGACAGGATGGAGAGGAACTTTGCTGAAACCAGCAAAGGGTATTTAAGATCTCCAAGTTATACTCTCACTGTTCATGGAGGACTGAATCAAAGAAACCGGAAATGATCATACAGTCTTGGTTACCTAGGAGCACCAAAATACAGTGGATATCCTGAATATCAATTAGCGTAATACGTTGACTCAAAATTACTTAAACCAGTAGCCTCAATATTCCCAAGAAACTGGACCATATTATGTATAGTTTGCAATACACATCATCTTCAGGACACAAACTAATGAGGGGCAATGCCTTGTCTAGAAGGCTACTTGTCTATATTCCACAGAAATTTATTTTGTGCACTGATGCATCTCCAGTGGGTTTCCATTCCAACCAGTCAAGGTTTGAGTTGTTGGGGGGGTTGTTGTTGTTGTTATTATTATTACATCCACACAGCACAGATCTCAGTATTTATATAACATTCAAGGCACAATGGACTGGCACAAGTCTTGGTGCGGCACTTGGGTCATTTGAATTTAACTAGAATTGCTGCGTGGCACCTCAGGGTTTATGTCACTTTGTGTGCAAGAGTCCTGGTTAAGATCTTAAGTATACCCAGTTAGAAGCCTGTTCTTTTACCCCAATATTTGTATCACTCCTACACAATTTAAAAACTGCGCATGTTCCTGTGTCTTTGTCTAATCCAGTTGACGACAAAGCTAAAACTACCTCATACCTTGAACACTTTGATCTGGCAGCTTGCAGAATGCAAGTGGTCTGTGTATTCACCATTTTCATTCTGCTTAAACGTGTCGATTTGCACCCGGAAGGGCACCCCTTTCTCTCCTCCATGTTTCCGTGGAGTAAATTCTGTGCTGATGCAATGTACCTGGCAAAACAAAAGCTGTGCTCATCTCTGGAGACAGTTGGAAGCTGTGCAAATCTGAATTTCAGACTCCCTGAACTTGCAGGGTGCCTGAACATGAGGTTTTGGCTCCTCCTAAGACATTAAGAGAGGCAGAAGAGTTCAAAATGTTTTAATTTCTGTTCCTCAGGACAAAACAAATAGAAGAACAAGATGCCCAGAGAGAAACAGGGCATCAGGAAAAGCACCCTTTGATTTAAGTAAATCCCACATACAGATTAAAAACAGATAGTTGGTGTTTGGGATGAGAAACACTCATGAAAGAGGAAAGCAAGCAAAACTAACAGGCTGTGAACCGTTTCCTCCAGACAAAACCCATGCTTAGAAAGCAGCATCCATTTTTTTTAAAAAAAAGAAATTCCTAGCTGTAGCAGGTAGTACTCCAAAGCTAGCAAGTAGCTAGCAAGTTGTTTAACAAGTATCCTACAAATTAATTATACATGATTGTCACTTGAGTTTGTATATTATCATTAGCATCTGTCTCTCTTCTTCATGTTCTGGCTACCTTAACTCTCCAGGTCTTCATAAGATATCTCACCATTGTATTTACCGCAGGAATATCACTTCTCTCTTACCTGAATGAATGCTGAGGCTCTCTTTGATGGATCCCACAGAAATTCAACAGTGTTCAACTGGGTGGGGCTGGCCCTGGGATCCAAGATACCAACTGACAGCGGAATATCTGTAGAAGAAAACCCCTAAAATTTTAAAAATATTAAATTGAAGAAGAGAAAGCATTTCCATACAATTACAAGATGCATGCGAAAAGCCAAGCCACTAATGATATATCTATTTGGGACCTATAGTGCTAGATCTCCTTCCCACCCAAAGACATACAGGATTCCTAAGAGAGCACGATATAAAAACCTAAACACACATGCAAACACGCCATACATCAATCAGCACCTTGCTTCCAAACACTGCACAAAAACCATAATGAAATAGTCTCACCTATATCAAGGATGCGGTCCCCAGGCCGACTCCACCTCCAGCCCTCGAGCTGCTGATGCTCTGTGTACTGCAGGCGTCGATCATGGAAAACTACACGAATTATGCTCTGTTAAGAAAAGATGGCAAGATGAACAACATGATCCAAAGGCCCTTCTCTTGAGATGACTTTGGTTTTCCAGCGTAGAAGCAAAAGCTGATCTGTCATGTTTCTCACCCCCATTCATGAGGAGAGCAGAGGGTCCACCTAAGAGACCCATCACCATGTTTATCAAATTCCTAAGGGACCCCTGAGTGAAAAAACAACATACTTTCCCCTTCATAGTGCACGTCTACACTGCGTAATGCAGCTCTGTACAGCTTTCTGGGATTTGGTCTGGAAGCACTATAGCAATGTCCACCTAATCTTAGGTGCTATGCCATGTAAACATCACTATACTGCCTCCACACCCAAAATGGCTCACAAGGGGGTAATATTTAATGTGTCTGTACCATGCTCCAACCCCAGTATATCCCACTCTGACTAGCAAATGTGAAAGCCAGCTCACCTGTCCCTGCACTGGTGGAGCTGACATGCCCAGACACCCTGTCAGTGGGAATTAAACTTGATTCCAGCCATTAACAGCCAGTCATTGGCACTGGATTTGCCCCATTACACTGGTAAACTGCCCCACGACACAGGTAAATTAATGTAGAATAGGAAAGCTTCTGTAAGAGGAGAATTTTCATCTCTAGCCTGCAACAGTGCAGCCATGTCAATAACTGGAGAAAAAAGGCTGGAATAAGAGCAATCCCCAGGGCAGACAAGTCCAAAGTATCCCTAACTAATATATCCTTTTGTATATTGAGAGTGCTATGCTAGCATGAGTGAATGACTCCTTACTTCCCAGTTTCTCAAGGCCATGCTCCTGCCGCGGACTTCTGTATCAAGTGGGAGTGAGCATTTTTTGCCAATGAACCTGAGAAATGCCCAAATCAAACCCAGCTCTAAGAAGCAAGCAAGCTACAGTGGGAACTCCTGCAAAATTGGAATCCCAATCCACATGCTTCCTGAAATGGGCCAGAAGACAAAGAGGAAGCTGCCTAAACTTGGACATTTCAAATCCAGACTGGAATCCAAATTTTGCAACTAGTTCCCACTTCTCAAAAGAAATCCTGAGGCAGAACAACCAAGAATTTGAGAGAGGAAGGCTTGAAGGTTGGATCCAGAACCAAGATCCAGACCCAAGTTCTTGAGTTTGAACTGTTTTGGGAGGTGGGAAACAACAAAAAAATCCCCAGAACCAAACAACCAAGTTCTGTGTGTTTGTAATTATGCCCATTACCAAAGTAAACTGGAGCTATGCAGAATCTGTATGGCAGAACAATGTAAACACCGGGGTCCTCCATTTGACGTGTAACAACCCAGGCATCTTGCTGGTATTAAGAAGGGAGACAAGTCTGCCTCTCAGTGGTTTTGACCATGTTCACCTCTGAACTTTGGGATTCCCTTGAACCCAATATTCACAGAGAAACTCTGGGGTCATGACCACAAACAGAATAAATGTTCCCCTGAAGCCCTGTAAAGCCAAGCTGCACGGTCCCATGAAACTAGCGCTCAACAACTGCATCAGCCCTGCTCCCATTAAAAACAATGGCAAAGTATTTTCCATTGTCTCGATGTGAGCAAGGTCAGTCCCTTCATTAGAGGCTGTATGTAGTAGCAGGAAGAAAAGAAATCTATATTTCTCCTTACCTTTACATATTTTGTGTTTAAATCTTGAAACTCTCCCAATTTCCTATTCTCAAGTAGACGGATTTCATAAGACTGACCTAGAGTTTAAGGAAACATTTCCAAGGTGTTTAATATGTTGTAGCAATGAGAGAGTCATGCTGGCATTTACGTGGCTAATAAAGCATACGTTTGATCAGGGAAAGCTCATTTTTGGTACCATAATGCATTTGCCCCCAGTAATCGAGTAGGCACTAAAGCACAGCAGAAATCTGAGGGGAAGGTTTGTCTTTTGGCAGCTAAAAGCTATCAGTTAGGGCATCGATCATGGTCTGTCTCCCAGGGCTGCTACAGTTTTCTGGTCACCCTTCAAAAAGTCACCAAGGTGTTCGAGGCAGTTGTCCCCCCATGTCACGTGGCTGTAACAGCACTGCCTTCATCTGTCCCTTCTGCTGAAGCAATGGTTGTGTGAAGAGCTGCTGGCACAAGTCTAGGCACTATTCTGCAGAGGATAGCAACTTGGGCAAAATCTTGCCTTCTTGAGAGCAGTCAGGTCTATAAGGTGTTTTGGTGAACCAGAAATACAAGATTTGCTCCATAAGGCCCTGAACGTGGCTGCCCAGGGCATAAATACTCCTTCAGACACGTGTGGAAGCAGCAAGGGGTATTACAGGATGCGCAAGGACCAATTCCAGGAAAGGAATTCATACTCCAGCACCCCACCAGCACCACCACCTTCAGCATAAGGAATTTAGCTGACTGGTTTATGAAATAACACCTCCCTCCAAGGCTGACAGCAGACAAAGGAGACTGATGTCCCAATACCTTAAGCACAAATGGCTAAGATAACACAAAAGCTCATTGTATAGGACCAAGTTTGTACAATAAACCTACAGCCGGCACAGAGGCAGGACAGGATCACTAGGATTAACTGAGCATATGTATACCTTATAGCTAGTTTTTCTTGTTCATCTCGCAATCCTCCCTTTTACTGAAAAATGCACAAGTACCACAAGGCAGGCACCAGGAAAGAGATCAGTTTCGCTTTTCTGGCTCAACCAGTATCTCCTCAGAACTGGCCCTGCAGAAAACTGCAAAGCAAATATATTTCCCTCTAAGCAGTTGCTACCAGCAGAGACAAAAAAATGCTACATTTCTGGATCTGGACCTAGAAATAGAAGACTTATGACAGCAAATGTGTCAGGAGGGCACCGCATTTTAAGCGGATTCCCTTTTGGGAATCCGAGCTTTTCTGGTTGCCCGTGTGAGTACAGACCATATCACTAGAGCACAAGGATAATTGTGCTTATTCAGCTGGCTGGCAGGAAAAAAAAAAAGGACAAGAGAGACCATATTGAAGCCCCAAATGTTTGCACAACACTCCTACTGATGTCAATAGGAGTTCTGCAAACAGGAAATGACCCTTGAATCCAGCAAGAGGCTTAGGGCATGGGGAAAGGGGAGAATAAACTGGATGAAGTACCAAATTAAGCACTGGAAACATGCATAGATCTTAACCCATCTCTTTGCACATACATCAACAAAAATAACAACAGTGACCTTCCTTTGAAGATTGCTGGGTAACAGGAGCGGATTTTGTAAATCACAGTCCTGAAACTGAGGTCTTCCACACTTTAACTCGAGAGACTTTCTAATGTTCCCACTGATACATGTTAATATTGTTTACTTGGCAATTTTTAGAGAGATTACATATCTCCCCACATAATAAACACTGTTGTACTAGCATAAAAAAGATCAGGCTCAGGTTCACAAAATTGGTTTTCTATGTTGTACTATGTATCTGTGTATATGCTGTACATGTGTATCTATGTTGTATGAGGTACTTGGCTGCTTGATGGCTCAGTTGGGGGATAGATTTCACCAGCTATAGAGTGATACAGTTCATTGCCTCAAACAAATTTACACAGCCAAGCATCTCTTGCACTTACAGTTCATGCCCGTGCAAGTATGAGGCTAATTAATCACTACAGAAAATTAATTTAGTATTTGAGACCATGAGCATCCAAGAGACAGCAAAATACATCTATGACTGTACTTAGATGGGGTAACAGGGACAGAGAAATTAAGTGGCATGAGCTGTCCTATAGAGGAAGGCAATGGTAGAACCAGAAACACTGCCAGCCATTCAGCTAGTATCTCTGGGATAAGCAGGTTATTGGGACACCTTTGTGCACCGATACACTCCTACTCTTTGGTCAGCCTGATCTGCTTATTTGTAGTTCCAATGAAACAAAAGAAAATAACGGGCATAAAAACATCAGCCATGTTCCCTTCAAACTAGCAGCAAGCACTCAAAAACTCCGCAGCATGCATCTTCCAACCACTTGCATGGGATCGGAACAATACTGCAACAAGGCAGACAGCAGGCACTGCACATCTCCTGACAGGAGTGATTCAGCCTGGATGGAGTTAGAAACAGATTCTGCCCACTGGTAAAGAAACTGTAGTAGAGACAGAGTTAATATGAAATGGAAAACCAAAGAGGAAATAAAATGCTTTGATGAAAGATATATGGGTCATCTGATGTAAGCCCTGGAACTCAGTTTACGACATGAAAAATCTTAGTCTAAATGGTATTTTATGCCAACTGCTTTCCCCTTGACCTCTGAATGTTTAACTCCAGTTACTACACAGAACTGTTATCAAAACAAGACTGCTCCCAGCCAAGCTTCATAAACATGCAGTTTATCTCCCTCTCTGTGGAACTCTATCAGTGAGAATTTGGTCCTAATTCCTCAGAATTCCTTTTTATATAAATGTTTTTGTATTCATTTTGAAAAATTCATTCTCGCTACAACTTATTCCAGCAAATACATTGCTTCACAGCTAATGGTACCTGTAATTCATTGCTATTACATGGAAAGGGTTTAGATAATTGTACTTTCATAGCACCAAGCTGCTTGGATTTTTCCTTGAAAAATACCTTCCAAACTTGGTATACCCTACGTTTTCCACCATCACTACCAGCAAAACTCCTGAGATGGTGAATTACAGTCTCAGCCCTGCAATTATAGCAATTTCATGGAAAAAACAAAACTAAAGAATCAGTATTTGGATGCTGGAAAACAGGATTCCTTTGTAAAATAAAGCAAATAATAGTGGCCTAACCTGCAGAAAGCTGAACTCCCCCTGGCGTCAAAGAGGGCAAAAAGTCACTCAAGGCTCTGGTACACAGATCATCTACAAATCTTGCATCACTGACTCATCAGCACTAGCAGGCATAGACCACAATTTTCTGCTAAAACTAAATCAGTAACAGATCATTCTTACTCAGGTACCTAAATCTGTACAGAAATGTGGCTGCAAGGGTGACTAAAACAAATGGTATTCCCAGTTCCCAAGACAGACTGCGACTAGCTAAGCCCAAAATATACAGCTGAAATATAGAGTTCCCCTATACCTAGTTTTCCCATCCGTCTCAGATGGAAATACAGATTAATACAGTTTAGACTACATCTTTCCAACTCAACGCTTGGTGGTAAAGCTGGAGACAGCAGCAGAGGGTACTGGTGCTGAGACTCTGCAATGATTTGATTGGATGGTCTGACCTTGACCAGGGCAGTATCTGGTCCTCAGCTGACAAGGATTTAACACACACAGGTTCAGATGGAAGGAAGAGCCGGAAGAAAACATCTGTGGCAACGGAGAGCAGTGGTGGCAGTTTCACAGCAGCCCCCCTTTACCAGCATGATCTTCAAGATTGCTGAATGGTAGTCTTCAAACCAGCGCTAAAGACCAGCAACTTGCTGAAACCCTTTTCCTTCCATGTTCTCAGCATTGGCCATAGCTGCACCACCACAGGCAACACAAGTTCAAGATAGCTTCAAAGGTGGTGACCAGCCAGGTCTCTGATCATGTTGTAATATTGGACACATATGTACAAGGGCACCTAAAGCATCTCTATCACTACTTGAAATGAAGAATACATTTTGCAAGCAAATCCCCAGCACAGCTGAGGCCAAAGCAGCCTCCTTGCCTGCCTGCGCAACCCGGTGCTCCCTCGCACAGAGCTTGCCACAACCCTTCTTCCCTACCTCAGACAGGGAACAGAACGGTAATAAATATTTGGAAAACCACATTAAATTCCTGAGATGCAATTTCTCTCCCAGCTTCACTGAAAGCTTCAGGGGCACCAATAAAAACCTGGGCGGGTGATGATACACTGTAATTTGTAATTTGAACAGACATTCCCTGAGCAACAGCAAATTTATGCAATCTCCTCCTAGGCTAGAGTTTGAGCAACTCTGCTTTACAAACAAGAGTAGTATCCAGCAAAGTAGTAACCACCCAGGTCCAGAGAGTTCCTGCTTGGTGATTCATAAAGCAATTGCATCTATCTTAAAGAGGATTTATAGACTGTTTACTTTTTTAACTTTTATTGTCTTTGGTAATTAACGCACATTAAATGCAGGCATGACCACTTTGTTTGGGGACAAAAGAACTGACAGTCAACAATTTGCTACGGATGAAAAATAGTTTAGTTCAACATGGCAACACTTTCACACGCTCAAAAGGTACAAGCTATAACAGTTTAACTGATTTCCATTGCTGGAATTTAGTCAGCCATCAGGAATTCTAGACATCTTCTGATTATAGAAGATTATCATTATTTCAAGCTCAAAGTTACATTTTGTTCAACGATTATTTGCTACACAACCACAATATCCTGCTTGCTTTTTTTTGTTTTGGTGTTATGTTTCAAGGGCCACTTGCACTACGCATTTTGTGGTTTTCTGCATGATACACTGATACAATACACTAATTTCCAATTAGGATGCTGATGTTCCAGACCAATATGACTCAGGCCTTACTTAATCTAGCCAAGCAGTCTGCTTGTCTTTCCAGCAATTAAACACTAACCTTATACTAAGCAATATCCCCAACAAAAATTGGTGGAAAGACAAAAACCTGCGAGTCCTCTTTCTCAGAATGGATCCACACAGCACTAGACAGAACCAGCCTGGAAGCTGTTTGATTATTAAGCCAAGCTGGCCAATAAAAATTCCATTTAGCAACTTTATATGGACATCCTAAATAGCGCACAGATAAAGGCAAAGGAATGCTGACAGTCGAATGCAGC